TTTTTTTTTGTACATTTTCCATGTTCATTGATTCAACATGCTCTTTGACTGATACCCTCTTGTCGCTTCACAGATTATTAAAGGCATTGAAAGGCAACAGAACTCCCTCCTGGAGAGTCCTACAGGAAGTGGAAAGAGTCTAGCCCTCTTATGTTCTTGTTTGGCCTGGCAAGCAGCAGAATATGGTAGGTATCAACTTTTAAATGAAACAAATACATTGTAAACAGTACTGCAAATCTTTGTCACAATCAATTCATTCAATCCCTCTAAAACTACTTGCAGCTTTAGCTGAGTTGTTAAAACAACAGTTGCTCAGTAGACTGTTGGTAAAGACTTAGTATTGACCAAATTTTAACTGTAACTTGTGTGAAGCAATTTCTCATGGCCAGTCCTTGGTGAATATACCATATTATACTGGCCTACCACTTGAAGATAATTTTTCTTCTTTACTTTGCAAACAGATAAGAAGGCAAAACTTGAAGAACAAATGAATGGTAAGTTAGTTTCATTTTGCTCTGGTCAGGAATGAGGCCCATATGAATCGCACAAATTATTTATAAATTCTTTAATAAATTATTCTACAGCTGAAGTATTTGATGATGGATGCTGTGGTAAGACATGTGGAGATGAAGAAAAACCTCTCCGAACAGGTGTAGTAAAAATTTTATTAGTTAAACAGTTATCATCACATGAATGATTGTGTTGTGGAGATGTTGAAACATGATGAAGGATAATTTAACTCATTATGTGTTGATAGTGATCAGGATTAAATATTTAATAAGTACATTACTCATCTCTGTCACAGTGTTTTATGTCGGGGCCATTATTGTTTGAAGGGGTGGCCAATCTTGCAATATTTTTGAGTTATTTTTTTGTAAAAAAAATACCTCTTAGTTGGCGCATCGGGTATGTTATGGACGGGTCAATGGGTGAGTGAGTGAGTGAGTGAGTGNNCTGTTAGAAAATAAGATGGTATCTACATTAATCTGGAGACATGTCAGATTACTGTAGTTTGTTCAGTCAAACATTTTATGGCTTACTATTTAGCTATCCTACCATGACCGATGTAACATCGCAACCAAAGAAAAAATGTCAAATTAACCAAATCATTACTGTACCATGAATGCTCCTGTCTCCGACACTTCACACAAAAAAATAACTCTTGTACGCCTTGCGTGCCTATGTTTTGAAAAGTCATCAGAATAGCCTGACAGAGTGTCACTTTTCTACCAGCGTAACTGATAATGTGCTTTTGATGACTGACTCAAGTCATAATAACATGTTCTTACCTCTACTGGTTCCTCAGATCCTGCAAATGTCATCAAATCTGATTATTTCCATCAGAGTTACACTATCCAACCACAAAAAAGTGTTAGCAATACAGAAGTACCACTTAATACAGAAGCAGTGGCTACTCCAGTGCAGTTGTCAGGTTGGTTGAAAAGCATATACATGTAGTGTGAGTTCCCCTTTGGGCAATCATGCAAAAAGGAGTTAACTGCCAGTGGCCAGGCAACACACCCAGCAGTTTCAATAAGGGCCAGGCACTGGGCAAATTGACTGGTTGTGAGGACGATTTTGCCTGCCTGGTTTCACCATCTAGAAGAAAGTTTTTCTTTTATTAAAAGTTCAGTTCAAATAGTTTTGCCCTCCTGCTAAAAATGTTAATGAAACCCCTGCATGGCCCATGTAAAATTTCAGTTTTACAGATTATTATTACTCTCTTGTGGCATGTACAGGTAGATTATTTTAGTGTTGTATTTTTATCTTGTCCACCCTCTCATCCTTGATTTTGTGATGGTGGCAGAAAAATTTATTTCTCTATCTTGTTGTAGCCTGTCCTCATTTCTCCAGGTCTTAGAAATAATTCTTGGCCAAAATCAGGCTGTGTTGTTCATGTTGTTGGCGAGGGGAGTTTGGCCAGAGAAGCAAGCGCTTCATCCCTAATTAGACACCTCACAACCTGCTTTCATTCCCAAGCCAGAGAAATGTTTGAGATCCAAGAGTAGTACTGTTCATTAATGTTGATGAGAACCAAACAAGGAGTGGCTTGCTCTACTAGCTCTTTCTTGAAGTGACTTATCCTTGACAAAAACTATTGGAAAGATAATAAATTTAATTGGTGTTTGCAAACCAGTTTTGAGGGTATGAGGATTAATTATTCATTCATCAAAAACAAGTTTGCTCTCTGAATCTTTTAGTCACAGATCTGAATGAATCACTTGCCAGGAGAGACAATGAATCTGGGAGCCCAACTGATGACGATTTCCAGCCAGCAAAGAAGCGCTTCAGAACGCCCGGAAATCCGGTAAAGTGCAAACACAAATGGACCATGGCTGGATTTATTTTGTTAGAAATCATTCCAAATGGTTTCTATAATTAATGAATTTCATTTTTAAAACTGTGATTTTGATTTTATTCCAGTACATGGTAATTGTCAAAGTAGCATAAAAATACCTGACCAAAAACAAATGTAATTTTAAAGCAAAGCATACTTTTCATGAGTTGTAACAATGTTACCGTGAATCCTTGAATTAGGGCCTCACCTCAAATAAGCGCCCCCTTCAAATAAGAGCCCCTCCTATTGGCCAAAATTTAAAATAAGTGCCTATCCTGGAATAGGTGCCCCCTCCCCTCCCCTCCCCCTGGTTCATGGAAGAGTGCTGAGACAACAAAAGATTTATAGTTTTGGTCATGTTCAATCACAAGCTGAAGTGATTATCGACTCGTTCAAGCACTGCACATTGACCATCACAACAGATGGTAGTGAAGATCTGCTGATTCATTGCTTAAAGCCCAACCAACCTTGTGCAGCAGGCTAGACCGGCTAAAGAGGTTACATTACATATTTCTTCAAGAGAGACACGATCCTTCCAAGGGACTGGCGCATACATTTATTAGGAAAGAACCTGATCATATATGACCATGATTTGAAAAGAAATAAAAAAGCACCCCCCACTCCCCTCAATTAAGTGCCTTCCTTGAATAAGCACCCCATGTCTCCTTCTAAATTTGAAATAAGTGCCCCGGGCACTAATTTGACGATTTACGGTATATATCTTTTACTCCATGCAGTGTAATAACTTCAAATTTAGGAATTCCGATTATGCTTATTTTGTGCATGGTCAGTACAAACCAAATACAGGTAACTTTGGAATAAGCCATGGAACTGGTATGGTTTTATAAATCTGTTATAAATGGTTTGAGTCTTCCAGTCATACTGTGTTTTTATCTTTTGTAGTTAATGGTGACTGACCTTTGGAAAACCTAATCAGAAGCAACCCTTAGAATCTTCCAATCATGTGTTCCAAATGCATCAGCAGTCAAGTGTTGAGCGATACCTTCAATTGATACCCTTGATCAACTCTTAATGGACACTTGATTGATGCTCGATTGACGATCCATCAATACCTTATTGGACAAAATTATTGATCGACATCTTGGTCAGCAGTTGGTTAAGAGTTGACTAATTTTCGATTGGTACATATGCAGTTGGTGGACACACGGCCGACTGTCGACTTACTGTTGATAGAGTGTCAACCGAGTATTCATTGGGATGCTGATCAATTGCTGATCAAGTGTCGATCACTGGTTGATTGAGGATATCGATTGACACCTGACTGCGGATGCCCAGTTAACTAGAGTACACATGATCCAAAACTTTTTCAGAGTTAACCTGTCTTCTGCTTTAGTCCTATTCAAGTTTTCCCATTATAGAGTCAAAAAAATTCTTACATTAGACATTGCTTTACTAGGCATTGTCATCATCTAAAAAGAGGCGTGTCCAGACACCCCTTGGAGGGTCAGTTGAAGATGGAGATTGTGAGCCTCCAGAATGGACCATTGAGTTGACAGCAAGCAGAGCAAGGGAGAACATTTCTCCAACTGCAACTGATAGTAATGACAAGAAAGACAAATTATCCCCTGATAATATTGGCAAGCATGATGCCAAATCAGAAAACTTAAAGTAAGTTGACTAGAGAGGAAAGTGCCACTATTTGTACCTGTCATGATCAGGGCTGTCATTAAGTTATCATTCACCTGTAGCCTTGATCTTCACACCTGTAGCAAACTTGTTTCTTTTTGGATGAATTGTATCAACTACAGGCAAGTTCACCCATAACATCAAGGGCCTATCAAACATACTCAGCCATGGCAGCTGTTACGGGGTTATGGTCCTTATTGACAGCCCTGATGATATCCATTTAAAGTGTTTTTCGCCATGACCATAATTTGCACATACTGTGTCAATGAAACAATTTGATGAGTAAGACTACATTTGTATGGCTTGTCAGTCTTGAGTGGATAGTTCTGTTGTGCACAGGAACTAAACATAGCTGAGTTGTAACAGAAATCATTTTTTGCAGGGTTCCAAAAATTTTCTTTGGAACTAGAACACACAAGCAAATAGCACAGATTTCAAGGGAACTTAGGAAGACTGTGTACAACAAAGTGAGGTATGACTATTGAGATTAGGCTTTTAATTAATGTCTCACAGGTTCGAAATGTCAGGTTTTCTGTTGATCAAGGAGATAAACTAAGCAAACTAAGGATATAAACTACATGACAGAAATTGAAACAAGAAAGACAATTTAACAAAAATCAAGCATGAACTCTGAATCTTGGGATTTATAGTTAAATTCAATAGCTAGCCATTCAACCACTACACCTTCCATGGTTTATAATAATTTTTTTTTGTAGTGACTGTGTCATTAATTTGAAATTCTCCTATATTTAGGATGACCATACTTTCCAGTCGGGAGCACTCCTGTGTCCATCCAGTAGTTTCAAAGGGGAAAAACAAGAATGAAGAGTGTAAAAAGTTACTGGATGGTTCAATGGTTTGTAGAAATGTATTTTTACCCAGGTTTACAATAAACGTATTGACAGGAAATAGATAAGTAGAAAATCAAGCAACTCTGTGCATGCTCATTAAATGTGTCCAGTTCTGTATACATAATAATTTTATTATTATTATACATGAGCATATCTGGAACAGTCGTTTAATTCAATTATATCTTTTTAGAATCATGAGCCCCTTGCAACCTCTGCAATAACTTCTCAACTCTCATATCTCCTTGATGGTGAAATGAAAACATTAAAATAAACTTGTTCTTTGGGTAACTGTTGCTTCAGTTAACTAGCCAAGAGCTGTGCAGGTGTAGCCCAAAAGTTAGTGGTCTATTAATTCCAAGCCACTCTTACTATCTTACGATAAAAAAAGCAACACACCCTGCCTGCCTGTTTGCCAAACTGGATCAAAAAGTTTGTCCTACACTAGGTTTTTGAGCTATTGGATAGTGTTTCCTATGCACTTCATGTAAGTGTAAAAATGTCCAACTAATTGCCATGTTTTGCTTGGACCAATGGTGTTAAGAAGGTCACCCTGCATATGCATTTAAAACAATTAATGAGTCACGCAGCATGGTCTTTATTGTAATTCTGAAGCATTTTTTAATGTTATTTAGGGCACCACTTGCAGGTATTATCAGAAAGTTCACACCATCCGGACCCAAACTAGTCTCAGATATCATGGTCTTGCTACTGCCTGGGATATTGAAGACTTGGTCACTCTTGGAGGTCAAATCAAGGTACAGTTGTCAACGCTGTGGTCTAAGAAAAATTATGACGATCATAAAGGTTCTTAACCATGAAATCCTGGGTGCCCAGCATTTTATAAGCTTATATGAAAAAAGTAAGTTTCCCAGTCGCCCAAGGGTAAAAGGTAGTCACCTGTGGCACCTGGGCACTTCTAGAGCACAGCTCAGGTTGTAACACTCTTTATACCCAAGAGGAAATGACGTCAAAATGTTGTTTGAAACTATAGAAAGGATATCACATGAAACTGGGAAATTGTGTGGATGAAAGTGTACAAGTCATGACTGCCAAAAATAACTCTCTTAAGCTTTAACATAAGGGATATTTGGAGGCCTGTAATAAGAATTTGGGGTACTGTATGGGAATGTTTGTATGAAATACGTATTTTACAATAGTCATTGACAATCTGTTACCCCAAACTGTATACCAGTCACTACAATCACTGTAAGTACACATACATTCTTGTTTTCAGTTTGAAAAAATTGTTTGCTTATGTCATTGTATTGAGGACTCATAGTGTCACCTGTTTTATTTCTATATTAACCTGTTTTCTTTGTGCCTCTTCCTTACTTGTAATTTTGGTGTTTCTTGTTAAGCAAGAACATGACAAATTATTCATAACCTCAGGTGGTTAAGGTTGAATGTTTTAAGTGAATCCTCCGCAAAGTCACTCTTTCGTCAATCCAGTTCTTCAGGTTGTAGAACCAAAAAATTGTCTGTTTTAATAAATTTATTCTTTTAGTGTGTATAATGTTTTGATGTGCTCTTGCACATACTCATCACCATACTAAATATAATGCTCTGATGTGTGATTTAGGCCTGTCCATATTATGCTGCGAGGGAGCTAATGAAGGAAGCTGACATCATTTTCTGTCCTTACAACTATCTCATTGATCCTAAAATCAGAATGCAGGTAAGGCTATTTGTATTCCATTTCACGTTTCAGCCACTCTCTCAGTTTGTGTTGTTCCAGATCATAGTTAATTGAGGGGACTGGTTATGAAGCCCGGCAAACATCAAAGGAGCAAACAAAGAGGCCAAGATTTATGTTGGAAGGTCCACGACCCTGCACAATCTTTTGTTTTGCAGTTATAAACTATGCATGAATTACATAACCAACAAGTTTCTATTGGTTAGTTCCTCAGTATGGAGTAAACAACAGTACTATTGTGTTTTGTGCACGGTCAAGGCCAAAAAAAGTGAACAAAAACATACAACAAAGAACTTAGTCTGGTTTCATAACCATTCCCGTCTATTAACTATGTCCAGATAGATAGATAGATAACTCTCAGGGGAAGCCAAAAAAAGTTTGAAATAGTTGGGGTTAGAAATAGCCAATAGTAAATAACTGATGAGCAAATCCATGGGAAATATTTTTAGCCCGAAATAATGGGGAATTCAAAGTAACTGAGTTTAAATTATCAGGGTCTGACTGTAGTATACAATTCCCTCTGAATTTTGCACTAACACATAATTAACCAGGCTTCACTTATGGTAACATAACATAGCATAATGGTTTATTCAAGATACAATTTTAAATATTGTAATAAAAACAAAATAAAATACATAATGAATATGGAGAAACAGAGGTTGGCCCTATGACGTTTCACCTTCAAAGAAAAGGCAGGTAAGGTAAGGTAGGTCTCACAGTATTCTGAACAGTTTGATGCATTTATCTTTTTGTTTCAGATGGAAATTAGCCTTAAGGACCAGATAGTGGTTCTGGATGAAGCACACAATGTAGAAGACTCAGCACGAGATGCTGCCAGCCTTACACTGACAGCTGTGGACTTACAGAACACATTAGATGACCTTGATAGGCTAGGTAATAAAATGAAAATAGTATTGCTATTACTACATTTGGATGGGCAATCTGTGGATGGGTGGTGGGTGACTTTAGGAAATGATGGCAATACTCACATCTGGTTGCATCCTGCATATTTGTGACATCTGCGGTCCCAAGAATGATATTTGATGTAAACAATTACGTTCAGACCAGGTCATTATTGTGTACTCTCGCAATGTTACAGGGTTTGTATGGGTCCTGGAAAAGCTGGAAAGGCCCGGATTTTTATTGTGGCATTTTCCAGGACTGGACAGTCCTCGAAAAATGCTTATGGTCCTGGAAAGTTCTGGAAATCTGTTTAACTCAAGTAAAAAAATATGATGTGTATGGCAGACAGTAAGGAGAATTAACATTGTGATCTTGGGAGTGAAAGGGTTAATATGAATNAACTCTTGGTCGACAGTCGACACTTGACCAACTATCGACCAACTGTTGATCAAGTGTCATCGAGTGAGCATCGATAGGGATGTTGATTGAGTACTGATCGAGATGTCAATTGAGGGTATCCCTCAATGGTATCAATTGACACTCAGCTGTGGATGCCTTTGGTACACCTGATTCAAAACATTTTACTTTGCAAAAACAAAATGATGGGTAGATTAGGGCTGGGGGGAATTAAGTCTTTTTAGGAGAATTATTAGTTGCAGTGAAATCTGTTCACCCAAGCTCTAAATATATTTTCAAAACATTCAACAGCAAATAATTTGTTATTTTTGGTATGTCTTGCTGAAATTTATTAATATTTTTCTGTTTTTGTTGGAAATTATCAGGAGCATTTTCAGTATCTTATGACAGCCATGAAAGATCCCTCCAGGTAAATTGGAAAATATATTAATTCATCAGTGGTAGAAACTAATCTCACTGATAATCTTTGTTTGTTATATGGGCATGCTCTACCTTTGCATTAGCAATCTTAACTCTGCCATCTTTTATATTGCATCTGAAAAATGCCTACTTGATATTTAAAGTAGTTTTAGCCTTTTGTCAGTTTAAACACTTTTCTAAGTGTTATTCATAAGTTTATTAAGAAATCCTTTTTTATGCCTAATTATTATTTTAAATGCAATTTATACTAGATATGCAGCGTGTTTGAGTGTACACCATGGGATATTTCAAGAGTCACGTGTATTTTCTTGGTATACACTTAAGCCTTTCTAGGCAAGTGTGTACACAAAGAAAATACAAGTGACAAGTGGGATATATATATGTTATTAGCTGGCTGGGAGGTCTGTGAAGTGAAAAACTGTGACCAAGGTCTTGAAAATGCTGCCCAGGGCTGCAGGCCAAGGACAGCATTTCAAGTCCAAGGTCACAGTTTTTCACTGTACAGACTGACTGACTGGTTTTGTTTATCCAACTTTGTCATTGAATCGGCTTACGTGCCGTCTACAAACCTTTGAAAAAAATCTTTACATGTACATTGACAGAGTAACTCAGATACTAGACAAAGAAAGATGTATTAGACTGAGAACAGATTTATTTCATCTTACTTTTTATTAGTTGCATTTAGTTCATTAGTTAAGTTCTCCAAACTTGTTTTTTTTGGTGTGAAATTTTGTGCAAAGTTTGAAGTTGTGCTACAAAAACAATCTCTGTCAGTCGTTGCAAATCACTTGAAATCAGACTTTTCTACTGTAAATGGAATGGCAGAAAGCGTGGAAATTCGTTGACTGTATTCCGCAGAAATTCTCTAAAATACAACAACAATCAGAGAGGTAAACTCAACTGAAATGGACTCATTTTTTACTTAAAATTGTACAGAAAGACACACAGGATTATGCACCATTACAGTGCCGAGCTACAAACAGCCAAACAAACTCTCACAACTTCAAAAAACTCAATTGAATTTACTTACAGTGACTTTCCTTGCTATTTAAAGGTGAATAGAGATAAACTTGCATTGATCAATTATCAATGGAGGTGTAAAAAGGGCAAAAGATTGACAATAATTGTCAATCTTTTGCCCTTTTGCCCGCTAATCCGTTCACAGAAATAGATCAATATGATGGATTCTGCCTGCTGTGGTGGGCAGATAGGAAATTTCTGCCCACTTCCAGAACCAATCAGATTGCAGGATTTGTTGAATTCCGCCCGCTTACGAGCTGAGAAAAAAATAATCTGTAGCATACCATGGATAGCATTTCATAACTATTAATTTTTATATCATGCCATGGAGATACAACATTTGGCCAACACAGTCAATGTGATATACAGCACATGATAGGAAGGTTGGCTGTAGTACAATCTAGTATACAAAGGCTTTCCTGTATTCTGATTGGCTTTATTTTCTTTGGCATGGTATAAATACTTTCATCAGTTTTCTAGAGACAATTCAGTTGGACAATTGCAAGGGAAGCAATGCCTTTTCCATGGTAGATGCTAGGGGGAAAGTGTATAATTATAACTCAGTTGAAATGTTACAAGAAATAAAGAATCAAAATAAAGAACCTGTTAAGCTAGGTAGAAATGATTCATGAATTTAATTCATGAGTTATGTCTACCAAAGTTGACAGATTGAACTAAATAAAGTAGATATTGATGTATTCAGAACCATAACAAGTTTATAAACTGTTAAATTATATACCTGCCAACTATTTTATGATCACAGTTTTGAAAAAAAAGTTGTTTCAGCTTCTATCTGGCTGTGTAGTCTAGTAAAATATCTTAGCTTCTCCTAGATTGGCCCATATATTTGTTAGCCCCATTCATGGCTAACAAGCTCGCCACATTGTGTCTATTTAGTTCATAGTACAGCAGTACCTACTGGATGAACTTTGAGGCACTGTGAGTCTTTCTATATAAATCTCAATACGCTGTCACAAGGAATTATCCTGGCAGCTTGCACAAGAGTACACAGTTTTTAACAATTTAGCTTTAAAATTCTTCACCCTCCCTCCCTTGGAGAAGGGCTTTTATTTGCTATTTGCCAATAAACTGGGGTCACTCCTGGTGGTTTGATTAAGTCTGCGTAGTGACTTGCCCCAAGCTTTGGCATTGCTTGTGTCTTGCCATCTTATATCCTGACCTTTATCTTGTCTGATCCAGCCTGTGCTGTGCTGGGGAGATAAGAAAGGCTCTGCCAATACTCTTGTTCTATTCCCATATTAGTGGGGAATAGGTGAGGCTTTTATTTTGTGCACCCATCATGAAGTTGCGTCAAACCTGCCACAGGGTTGTGTCTCCCTCAATTACATCTGCTATTTATTTACTTTGTGTTTACTCTTTCTTCTCTTAAATTAAGTTTTCTTTTTATCCTAAAAATGGTATTTAATTAAAGGGCATAGAATTAGTCTACAATATCTTTCCCTTTCCACTTTCCTTTCATTGCATTTTGTCTATCACTATTGTATTTGAATCTTGTATTGGAGAAATAAAAAATACAATTACAAGTTGCAAATTTCTGTACAGAAGTTGATTCCATTGCAGTAGTTTGGTATTGTGAACATCAGCTTTGGACAGGTGGGTAAATTTAGTTACCGTGGTTCTTCTTTTGCAGAGCAAGTGACAGCCCTTCTTTAACATCTCATAGTCTTTCTCTTCTGGAAGGAATATTTCTGATTGGCAAATTTATGATGGGAAACAATATGCAATATATCGCTGATTACAGGTAAATACTGCGAGTCCCCTTTTTTTAGGAAATAGATGTTCCATGGTTGTTGCAGGGAACATAGGTCCTAAATTAATACTGCTCTTTTACTAGATGTGCCATATTGAAAACATCAGTTATGGTCAGAGATGCAGTTTTGGTAAGTAACAATTTTGTTTTCTATTCAGTATTTAGATTATAAACTTGTAATTTTCTTTGAGGTGATAATTGACAAGGCAAGGTTCAGATCAGCTATCACCCTGTAGAATCACAAGCCAATAATGTAAATGTTTTATTTCAATTCTAACTTTAAATAGCGACGTAAATTTTCCGAGTACAGTTGCACATCAGTGTTAATATGAATGGTAACTAAGCATACAACTGTAAAATGGTCTAATCCCAAGAGTAACATTTTTCTCATTTCTTTGCTTGTAAATGTAGCCTGGAGGATGGAGGAGAGCTCATGGAGGTAAGCATATAATGTGTTCTTACTTTAGTTTTTACAAAAAATAACAAAAAATAGTGTTTCGTTTTATTGCAGACTTGACTAATGTGTAGTAATTTTAAATCAAAACAGGAATGAGGAAGGAATGGACTCATTCACTAAACTTTTGGTGTTTGAACCCTGCTGTGGTAAGTTAAGTTATTGACATACATGTTTANGGGGTCTCCTCCCTGCCACAAGATAGACTTGTGTTTGGTGGTTCCGTATTGAACTTTTCCACGTCTTGTAAATAACCAACAGGTCAGCCTCAATGCAGCTGGGATTTTTAGCAAGTTTTCAGTTCTCTTTACAATATTTGCTTGTTCATTTATAGTGTCCCCGATTAGCACAGCAGTACTACATACCATAGATATTAGAAAAGTCGAGCATGCGTAATATGTAACCATATTAGCCCATGGCATCACTGTTTCTTTAGTTAAGAATATAGAGCGAGGACTTTGATTTGTGTGCATGTTAGGGATGATGAACAGCAATGGATGGTGCAAATTCTCTGTACACTTGCTGGTAAAATAGTGGCCTAAAATACAAGTACAATTGAATAGTTATAACCAGTGTCTTATTCGATAAGGGCAGAGAAGTTTGTCATTTACTTTTAGCCTGATTGTGGTAGTCTCTCCAAGAACCTCTCTCCACCCAGTTGTAAATGGTTACAGGGAAGCTGTCAGAAATACCAAGTTACTGGGAGGAGGGGGGAGGGGGTGAATATTTAATAAGCAAGGACCCAGTCAGAGATGTGGACACACCGCGCCTTTATTACTGTAACAGAAACCATAAGTCAAGCACTGGCTCAATTGCATACTAACTGGGACTGACAGAAGAACAGACATGTTATTTATGTATTTTGTTTAACAAAGAGTTGATTGTTGGCTTTTTAGGTGTGGGTTGGAACCCTATCAGCAGGACCAAGTGGTTCAGCTATTAATGCCAGTTATCGCAGTGCTGAGGTATGCCGTGAAACAGCATACCAATGTTTTTTTTTGTTGTTGTTGTTGTTGTTTTTTTGTACTTGACTGGAGTTGTGGCTGTCTAAAGACTGCTTTGTTAGGACTGAGAGTTTGCTTTGCGATACTCGTGAACAAGACAATTTACATAACGCTTTTTTTCCTCGCTGGCCAAAAAATAAGATGCAACATAGATAAAAGTTAGTTGACGAGTAGAAGTTCGATAAACTTGACAGTTAAAGTCTTGTATCTCATTCAAGGATAGTTGCAGTAGTTTTTAGTCTGTTATGGTGTAGAACAAGAAGACACAATGATATGAGTAGATAGAGTTCATGAAACGATCAGTGCTTTGATAAATTATAAACGTTCGTTACAGACCTTCACCTTTCAAGATGAAGTTGGCAAGATGGTACTTAATGTTTGTGAGGTAATGGTTTGTGTTTTGTGACTGTTTTATTAAACGATGACTTATGACGTCATCGTTTAATGCTGGCATACGACATTCCTTATTTGGATAAATAATGTCGCGCTTATGTCGCGCACGATTTATCCCGAATGGAAGCGAGGAGAACAGGGAACTAAACCCGTTTCCTTGCAAACCGCCATCTCGATTTTCGGGATCGAGTGAAATCGTTTTTCGGCAGCTTGTAACATCGACAAAGTGTTGGTTAGATTTCCAGTTGTTAAACGCAGGTATCGGGACTGGAGTGATTGTTGTGTTTTATCCATTGTCTTCTAGTTATGTATAACCATCCGATTGTTTGGTTATTTTCCAGTTTTCTAGACAGAATTTTAGAAATGGCAGTTAAATGTCATCGCTTCTGCGTGCATTGCGTGCTGTTTATTCCCTTTGTGTTACTTAGATCTTGATTAAGATCTTAATTCTTAGCCATTTTATTTAATTTGACATACATGTCTGTTTGTTGTTGTTGTTTTTCAGACAGTACCACATGGTGTACTCTGTTTCTTTCCATCGTACAACATGTTGGACAAGCTCAGCAAACGTTGGCAGGTAAGATGGAATTCCTCCTTGCAGATTGCCATACATTTCCTTTTCGAACGTTCAGCGAATGTAGAGGTAAATCTGGCTTTTTGGCTTTGCATTGATGTTTTAAAGAGAGGTAAGATGTGCATCAATCTTTGAAAGAAAGTTTATTTTTGCCGGAAACTAGTTGTTTTTTGCAAGAGAAAGAGACCGAAAGCAGTAAAGTGTGCTTTTACAGAAGTTTTTCACTTTTCTCTGCGCGCAAATTCGTCCTCTGCACTAGAGAAACGTGTCGATGTAACTCTACAGATATTTCATATGTGTAGGTAGATAGTTTTTGTATCGAATTCTACAAGTTCCTTGAATGGGAGAGGAACTGAGAGTGTGAAGCGAGAAGTTTGCTTACTCAAGGTTCATTCACAATGGTAATTTTTTGTAGTCAACAGGTCTTTGGTCCAAGCTCTTGGACAGGAAAGTACTTGTCAGTGAACCACGCAGTGGAGACAAATTAGGTTTGCAAGGATTGCTCTTACTACATCTTTTTCCGAAAAAAAGACAGATAAAAAATCCGACATTTTGTTTGGGGGATCGGAACGCTCTTGAGCGTTTGCTTAGGTATCCGGGCCTCATGTAGCTTGCCCCATTAAGTCTGACATGTCCCTAGTTGTTTCTGACGAAAAAATTAAGATGTGNTCAATTTTATTTCGCTGTTTTTAGCGAGAAAAAAGATTTTAGGTTGCAATGTCTTCTTGATCTTGTCATTAGTATTACAAATAGCGTATTATTTTCATATATAGCTTACTATTTTCATATATAGCTTAATATTTTCATATATAGCTTATTATTTTCATATTTCATATTTTTCACAGGAAAATGGGCATTCTAAACAGTGATTGGTCAGAAAAGACTATTACGATACACAATTTACATGAGCCAATCACATAAGATGCAATACAAATTCAGAAATTTGGCTACTTGCGAACTCCGAGTGTAAAGCGCCAAATGTTCTACTTTGTTGAATTTTTACGTTAAACATTAATCAAGTTCTCGTAGATTTAACTTGTATGAGAACTGAAGATTGTTACCTTAAGGGGTAACTCCACTCAAATGTCCTCTTCATTGATAAACCATCTTAATCTTATTATTTGAGACGGAAGAAAAAAAAACGTATGTGAAATTTTTCTTTGTACCCGTTGATGTGTAGACTCAGATGATGACTCCAGTGTTGATGGAGGTTTGTTCCTGGCCGTGTGCAGAGGAAAAGTGAGTGAAGGACTCGACTTTGCAGATAACAACGCCAGAGCCGTCATCACGGTAAGAAATCATTTTTTCAAGACCTATAAAATTTCAGAATTATTTGTTTGATATACAGTCGAACCTCTCCACAACGGCCACCTTAGGGAAAGTGGAAAGTGGGGTGGCCGTTATGGAGAGGTAGGGGTGTAATATGACACTTGTATTTGTTTGGGGGTGCAACGATTTTTTTCTTTAAAAAATGCTTATTGTAGCATGTAAGTACGCAACACAAACAAAATATATTATTAAAGCAGAAACCAAACAGAAACAGAGACCAACGACGTGCGGTATGGATCAGTGTTTGTTACGTTTTACAGTAAACAGGGATTTTGTATGCACTGATCCTTCGTTGATTAACTGGCCGTTGTCGGGAGGTTGTTTTGGCAGTTAGGGGGCGCTTTCGTGGCCGTTGCTGTTTTAGAGAAGTGGACGTTGTTGATAGGTTAAAATAAGTGTGAATGTATTGACCGTGCGCCGGGACAAAAAAAGTGGCCGTATAGAGGGGTCGCTTTTGTCCACGGATGTTTTTTTCGTACGATCTTTTCCTTCGTCGAGCGCGCTTGAAAGCGAGCGTGGAACGCGAAAGAGCCCCACCCCCTTGCGTTTTGGATCGTTCATATCCCACGCGCCAGATTAATATTTTGCTACGCTTGCGATCGCGACGAACTCGAGACAAGATAGATTGTCTGTGGACAGACTAGTGGGACAACCTTTGTCGAAACAACTGTATAAGAAGAGTCGGTAAGGTTACAAGCGAGTTGGGTATTATATCCGGAGGAAACTTACAACCTGGGGAGAAAAAAAATACTTGTTATTGATTTCCTTAAAATTCTCTTTATTCTTTGGTTGCCATTATATTTACTCGTTGAACTTGTGTACTGCTTTACAAACAATACTTGTCGAATCGATGAGCACAACATAGACCGTAGTCGCCTTGGCAGCCGTTATTAGGGTCGTCACGCAATGCTTCTCTCTAGAAAAGCGTTGCGTGACGACCCTAATAACGGCTGCGTAGAGGATTACAGAGACTGGGACTGAAAAAACTTCTGCGCAGTTAAACGAAACAGGCGATTGTTGATGGGGCTTTAAATGTAACAATTTCAACCAACACGCACTTAATCACCAGCTTCTTATAGGTGGGTGTTTATTGTATTTATCTGGCCGTTTAAAGATCCTTCTAAGTTTTACATCTGAGGATGAAACGCGAGTATGTAATGTGTTTGCCATAGTTAACGGAGGGAAATGGTCAGGAAGGCCGGTAAACACCAGAGAAGCAAACAAACAGGCTGAGATTTATGTTAGAATGTCCTTGACCCTGTACATCTTTTGTTTTATGCCCACAGACTATGCATGAATTACAAAATCGCAGTGCTTCAATTGGCTAGTTGTATGAGCACACATAACCACCTTTTGTATTTTGTCAGGTTTTGTACAGGGTCAACCCCCAAAATAGCCAGCAAAAACATACAACAAAGAACTTTGCCAGGTTTATTAACCATTTCCCTCTATTAACTATGGTGTTTGCAGATGGCACTTTCAGGTGCTGTTGTTCTTGTTAATTTGCAAAGTGAAGTCGTGAGTTTTAATCTCAAGCTTGAAGTTTGGCATTTTTTTTTAAGTGAGAGGGCTATTTACATTGTGGAATGAGCATTGCGTTTGAGGCAGGCAGCTTGAAGTGCCTCATCCAGGTCTCTCTCAACTTGCTGATTTATGTTCCAAGATATAATGTTTAATTTACAGAGTTTACAGTTCGGGTGACTTAATGATCTGCGAATGAAAGGCACCACCACAGCGGTTATTCGATTGCTGATCAAATCCAGTTTCTTGAGTTTGCAATGTTCGCTCTCTAGTGTTTCGCAGAAGTGTTTAACGCCTTGGTTAGTAATTTTCTGACACTCTATTCTCAACGAGCTCACCTGGCAGTTTTGGTGTTTGAGTGTTTCACAGAACTTCAACAAAACCGCGTCGGTCCAAAGTTCCTCATCGTTGAACATCAAGCTGGTGATTTTGCAATTCGCGTGTTCCAGTGATTCACACAAGTGTGACAAAACGTGTTCAGTTATTTGCAATGTGCCAAGTCGCAAGTGAGTGAGCTTACAACTTTTGGTTTTTAGTGATTCGCAAAGGAGGACTAATGCATCTGGACTGATTAAGTCGTTCCAATTAAGGCTCAACTTCTGGAGTTTACACTTGTCCGCACTGATAGCTCTTATCAATGAAATCAAACCCTGGTCAGTGATGTTGTTCTTTTTTAGGAGTAATTTAACTGGGCCTCCTTCCATTAACAGCTTGGCTAATTCTTTACATCCCCCTTCTCCTAGAGAATTAGCACTTAGGTAAAGTGAGTAATTCACCCGCTCAATGTTTCTTAAGAAGTACACAATTGCTGTGCAGTCAACAGGTGTTATTTGGCAATTCCACAGGTCAAACGAATTGCGAAAACATCTGTTTTGCTGAAGCTGAGAAGCTGCGCTCTTCACTGTAGCATCGTCATTGTACTCGTACAAACACTTCATCATGAGTAAAGCCATCTTTTTATTCGGTGGATTCGACAGCGAAGAGTCGTGAAGGCACTTTACAAAGCTGCTGACTGCGTCATTGTGCTGCTGGCCATGAAGTAACCCAGCAACGAACTGAATGACCAAATGCCACTTTGGATCTTCCGTGTTAGACGTAATAAATTCCTTAAGGTCATCGGGCTCCATCTTCGTAATCTCTCTAGCGGCCAGAAACTCCTGTAAAGTTAAATGAATGAAGCAAAAACGTTGTTTGAACTCCACCGGAGACAACCTGCTGTCAGGCAATTGATTCAGCAAACCACAATGTATCATTCCTGACACTTCTTCTGAGTCGAATATCAGTCGCCCTTCGGCTATTCCTTTTCTTGCTAACGACCCGAGTTCTGTCAAGGTCTTTTCAACCGAATCTGAAAAGCGTTCATTTCCCCGAAATGGTTTATCGCGAAATTCCGGGTGATGCGTAAAGATGAACAATCTCAAAGCTCCTTGGTAGACTTCCGTGAGCCTTGTCGGTAAGGTGACGATTTCTGATCCCAGGGCACAAAGCTTGATTAACGCCTTGAGAAAGAAACACAATATGCGACAATTCACAGGAATGTAGCATAAAGACAACAGGTTTAAATTGCTGTAGATGTGCTCCCATATTTGTGTTGCTGTCGCGCTGTCTCCTTCACAGTAGTTGTTCACATACTTCTGAACTTTCTCTTCTGTAAAGCCCATTATTTCCACAGTCCTGTCAAACAGTGGGACCTCAACACTTCCCAGCACAGTCGGCCTACAACTTGTCAACACTGTTGCTCCAGGAAGGAGTTTTCCCTGCAGAAGTTTCACGTATAGTGCTGATAATGGCATTTTCTCGCTTGGGCCATTTCCGAATCGTGCCGCCTCGTTGGTCGTGCAGCTATCGTGATCCTTAAATTCGTCGAAGCCATCAAATACAAGAAGTATTTCCTCAGGATTATCCAACAGTTCTTGAAAAACCTGATCGTCTCTTTGACCGGCTGAATATGCTGTGCGGTTCAGCAACTGCCGAAAGGAGATCTGTCCTGATGTTTCCGAATAAAACGAACGAAACTGGAACAAGAAAGCGTACTTGAACGTTTTGCTGTTATCGTGGAAAAGGTGCCCTTTACTCCAATCACGCAGGAGTTTCTGACAGAGCAAAGACTTTCCGATCCCCGGGCGTCCAACGATGAGAATTTTCCGTGGGTTTTGAGTGTCTTCGTTGGACAGAAACAACTCTCCGCGCGTTTTGATCGCAACTGATCCATGCTGGCTTTCAGGTTTTAAATAGGAGTCGTATATGAGGTGTCTTTCGCAATCCTTCAAAAACTTCTCTTTTGCTCTTCCGGTGTAAATGATTACGTCCAGAAAGATGTCATCTAAGAGTATGTTGCCTTCCTCTTCCTCAGTGCTACAGTGAATCAGTGGCTCTATAAACTCTGTTTCTTGTAAGATCAGTTTTTTCATGGATTTCCTGAAGCCAGCTGGCGTCACGGCAGTTGAGCTTTGGTAGAAAAAATACTTTGAAGAGAATTCTGAATCGAACGTAAACTTACTACTATGTGATGCACGTGCTAGAAGGTAAATGATTTCTCCGAACACAAGACAGTTGAAAATGATGTTAGCTATCCAAACCATCCTCATACAGCTGTTCTTTTCAGATGCAACAGAATTGTGGCAGTTTGATGTGTGAGAGAGTGTTTTTGAAGAAGCGCTGGTATTGAATGATCTCACCGTTGGCAAAACGCAAGCATATCCGGTCGGAAAGCCACCTGGATACAACACAAAGTTTTGCATCAATGTAAACACAATTCCTAAGACTAGGCGCGTCGCTAGATGAAGGAAATAAATCGCGAAAACTCGACGAGTTCTTATTCTTGGCCTTGGGCGAGGGTTTTCCGCATCGGGTGCCATCGCGGCTTGTAGCCGGTCAACCCGAGATTTCACACAACACCACGAGTAAGCGAGGCACACCACGACCACGGCAACAAAACTCAAAAGGACATACAGATACAATGGCAGTGGAGAATTGTACTGTTCCTCGTACTTCTCAAAGCATTGAGCTTGATGAAAATTCTTGTCAGGTAGGGTACCTTGGAAATCGCAAAGGAAAGTTCTCCGTTCGTTGAGTCTTACCTTACTTGTGATTCCTACAAACACGGCTCCTGTCAAGAGAAAAAGGACTGCTACAATGTAGCCAAACAAACTGAAACGAGAAGGAGTCAGAAACTCTTTTAGCCCTTCCATTTTGACCAGAGCGTGTGGCGTAGAGAAGTGGTTAAATGGCAAGTAGACGTAGGTACAAGAATATTAAAAAATTGTTATAAAAACGTCAAAAAACATCCATGCAGAAAGGATACCGACTGTAGAAGAGACAAAACAAACGTTGGAGACGAAATAGCATTTATAATGCTGTCTGAAAAAAATGCAAATTTTGAATAATTGCTTGAGAGTGACGTATGTAAAAATCTAAGAACTGAATAAATGGAATAAATGGGTGAAAATGAACTTGTCCGTCACTTTCTTCGATATTCTTGCAGTGTATATCGATTAATTAATTAATTAATTAAACATTCGGTTGAAGTAGTGTCGAAACATTTACTTCCTTTGAGAGTTTTCGAAGAAGAAACTACAACATATACTAGAGAAAACATCTGCCACGCGGACTAATTAGTCCGCGTGGCAGATGTTTTCTCAAACAAGACTTCTGTCCGGTGTGCATTTGAATATTAATCACAGTAGTTTAAGCCCCAGGGCCCCTCTACTAGGCATATGTTAGAAGCGGAAAGGGTCTGGGGAAGCCCTGACCTTAGACTGTTCTTTGTTAGTGTTTAGGCAAAACGACACGAGTTCAATTAATTAGTCCATCTGATACTAAATCTAAAATTGTTGAAAAAATAGACAAACTTTTCAGGTTCAATATGTGTCGACTCTAAAAGAACTCGGATCGAACGCGATCATTTTTTGAGTTCTTGAGAATCCACAATCCTACTGAAAAGGTTTAGCTTTAAAATACTTCACCTGTTCTGGGCTCTCGCTCAGTGGGGACGATCGAAAAAGCAGGCGGGCGACGAGCGGGGTCCTTTTCTCTCTTGGTCCCGCTCGTCGATGATCCCGCTCGTCGCCCGCCTCCTTTTTCGATCGTCCCCACTGACCGAGAGGCTAAAATAGGTTACGTTATTCGTAGAAGTAGCGTACTTTTGACACGAAGCACGAAACCAACCAGTTGAGGTTTAGAAGCACGCTAAAGCAAGTTTCACTTTTCCCCTATAGATTGGAATACCTTTTCCAAATGTGAAAGACATCCAGGTAAGGTACACTCCATTCTGTTAAGAAAACATACCAAAACTCCCGCTGGTTCACTCTGTACAACTCGTCCTTCCACACAACTGCAGTTGGAAATTGTTCATAACCAAACACATACCAGCTCAGTCTGCGGTGCTTGTGAGTTGGTATACCGTGAAATGTGCTGCGTGTGTCTTTAAATGTATTAAAATGAGCCTTTAAGTTACCTTGTTTGCAGTCTCTTAGATTAGTGGGTAAAACGAAGAAAAGCTGGCGAAAACGAAGGGATAATTGTGATGATGGCGACTTAAGGTCATTCCACTGAAATAGAACCTGCACTGAGATTTCTGTGAAACTTTGCCTATTGATATTATAGGAACTTAAATATTGAAATAAAAATGAGGGGTCCCCGTGTTCGTTTAGGAGCAACAGCACCTTGTTTATACCCATATAAATCCTTATAATAGCACCATGATTGTAGTCACGATTGCTTGCTAAATTCACGTTTCCGACGATTGCTTTTTGTTCTGCACTGAGAATTTGTCCATATTTATTTTACAGAGAGAAATTTATTACTCAATTCAAAACAACAGAAGAAAATTATAGGTCATCATACTCGTTTGCGAGAAAATGACGATTTACCTCTATGGCGAGGTCCAGCCGTAAAGAAAAAGCCGCCATTTTTTAATGCGCGCG